TAATGCTAATGGTATTGTCGTCGGTAAGCAGACTATTTATTTTATCATTTATGTAAGAACACGGGCGCCTTCCCGTTCTACGAATCAGTATCACATTATTCGAATAGAAGCGTAGTAGTCATATCTCGACACCAAAACCAAGAATTATCAATTTTTTGAAACTCTCAAAGTCATAAGTGATTCGGAAATCAAAACTACCAATATTGAATTATGGCATCGTTTTTATCTCTGTTTACTGAGACGAATGTCGGACTCATAGAAGTCATACGGATGAATTTTCCAAAACTGAATCTTTTAAAATGTTCCTCAACGGTGAACTTGTTTTATCCAAGTTATTTGTTATATTTAGAGATTATGGAACCGAGAAGAATTACTCTAATGTATGTTTATTTATTTTTTTAGAGCCGTGTACGGCCGTTTGTCAAAATGGTGGTCAATGCACAGGTTCCAATACTTGTACATGCGCTACTGGATGGAGTGGTGACACGTGTACACTTGGTAATGTAAATTCAAAGTTTAGTTAATTCTAATAATTTCTGTTGTTTCTTTTAGCTATATGCACAAGTGATTGTCAGAATGGTGGTACATGTACAGCTCCTGATACATGTACATGTACTAATGGATGGAGTGGTGACACGTGTACTATTGGTTAGTAAAATTTAAATTTGAGATGTTCTCTATGGTTACTATTCTTGGAAATAAGGACAAGAATATGTAAATGAGAATGTGGGATAGTATTAGTTTGTACATAAGGTAGAAAGATGAACGTCAGGGTGAATCTTTCCGTAACACTGTTTTCCTAACCCTCGCGACATGCTATGTAAATTTTGATAAATGAGATGAATATTGTCTTAAGAGAAGAGGCTCATTTTCTTAGATATTTTATAGAGAATTATATATACGATAAAAATTTCTGAAAGAATCTATTTGTTATTCCATTAATTATAACAAATAATAACTATTCCATAAGTTTTATTATTTGTAAAAGCTATCATTTTCTCTAAAATTTTTATAGAATGATATCACTTGAGTCAATTTATCAGATTTAAAAAGATGTCATGGTGTGCCAACTAATTTGTTTCAGTTGCTACAATAGACACATATTTATTAATATATTATAAAAAAAGAGATACAGAAATCTATACGAATATATTTACAGTCAGATATATTGTTAATCGATAGAGAACTGGTAAATTAAGAAGAAAATATCATTCGGTCTTCCTATTTCATATAGAACTGACAACGTCATCAACAACAACAACAACGACGACGACGACAACCACAAAAACAACAACGAAAACAACTACGAGAACAACCACGAGGACAACCACAAAAACAACAACGAGAACAACCACGGGAACGACCACGAAAACAACCACGAGGACAACCACAAAAACAACTACTAAAACAACAACAACTACAACAACAAATAAATTAACAACAACTACAACAACAACTACGACAACAACTACGACAACAACTACGACAACTACAACTACGACAACAACAACTACGACAACAACAACTACGACAACAACTACGACAACAACTACGACAACAACAACTACGACAACAACAACTACAACTACTACAACATGTAAGTTAGTTAAAACTTTTGAAATTATTAGAAAAGATGTATGCTGTTCATATAATATACAAACTACATTAGTGTAGCATACATAATTTGCTAAAACTATTTGCAACTTATCCTCAATACACTATGTATAATGTTTTTCGACAAGTTGATCATAAAAATATAATTAGAACATTTCAGTTTTGATATCTGAACTGGTCTATAAGTGTTGGATAATAAAATAGTTTTTCTTTTTCTATCTTTTTATAGTATGTACTCTATCTTCTCAATCGACCTGGTCACAAACTGCTACGACCATATTTGGCAGTCAAGCAGGTACATCTGGCTCTACCCTTTCACTTCTTAATACTCCAATTGGAATGTATTATGATCAACCTAATAATAATTTAATCGTTAGCGATTTTCAAAATCATCGTGTTCTACAATTGTCTTTGATTAATGCGCCTTCAGTTGCAACAGTAATTGCTGGAAGTAATGGCGCGGGTTGCAGCTTGAATCAATTTACGACTCCTATTGGAGTAGGTCTTGATAGTTCTGGTCAATTGAATGTAGCAGATACAACATGCAATCGACTCATTAGATTTCCATCAAATTCAAATTCGACGATATCTGGAACATCTGTCGGTTCTGTAGCGGGAGCAGAACAACTATCCATAAACGCATTGACTGGTGATATTTATGTAGCTAGTTATAGTGGTAATGCGGTATACAAGTTTACCGGAGGTAGTGGATCACCCGTGGTTGCAGCAGGTATATAGGATTCCTTCGAAGAAATCTTTTATTTGATATACATTTTATCTTCATGTATAGGTGGCAATGGAGCTGGAAGTGGTCTAACTCAGCTTTCATCACCAAATGGTGTTTACTATGATTATTTACATACAAATGCTTTGTACGTTACCGATCTTAATAATAATCGTGTAATGAAATACCCATCTGGTTCAACGAGTGCAACTTCTGGAACAGTTGTCGCTGGAGGTAATGGATCTGGAAGTGGAGCGAATCAGGTCAATAGCCCAAGAACTATACTGGTCGATAGTAGTGGAGCTCTTTATATATCTGATGCAGGTAAGAGCAACTTTGAGAAAAGAAAATACTCTATAAATTAAAAAAAATCTCGTTTGACTTTTTTCATATCCAGGTAACAATCGTGTTACACGTTGGCTGCCAAATGCGACTAGTGGTAGTACAGTCGTTGGTGGAACATCAGGAACAGCATCGAGTCAACTCAATTTCCCTGAAAAAATCCTCTTTGATAAAAATGGCAATCTATTGGTTGTTGATAGAGGAAATAATCGAATACAACTTTTTAATTTAACAACATGCTAGTACATAAGGACTTACTACTGATTGATTATTATCGTTAACAGCAAAAACTTTAAAAAAGCTGATTAATGTGTTGACTTTTTCTTAATTTTTCATAAGTGTTCAAGTAGTGATTTATCTTTGTTTTGTAACATTTCTTTCATAGTTTATATCTTAATAAAAAAAGAATATACACTTCACAATTAAATATATTGTATGAGATAATCGAAAAGTGGGCTAATTTCGTATTTGAAGAAAAGCCAGATTTGTTACTAGCTTGATCTTAATAATGCATTTTCTCATCATGTGTATATATAATAGCTTTCTTTTTTGATATGACAGAAAAAGATAGAAAGAAAATATATCGAATGAAAAATGTGAAAATTAAAATACTTACGATTTGCCGAGATATATATGCGATCATTGAAGAAGTAGAAATAAAATTATAACGTCTATTTACAGTAAGTATAATATAAATTTTCTTAAAGTTTATTAGGAGGATGTTGGTGTGTCACTGTCCTGTCATACACACACCCATCCCACATCCTAGATGCGGCACCCTTCTCCGTACTTTTAATTTCTTTTTGTTCTAAATATTTTTCTTCTTGTATGTATACTTTGAAACTACATGATAGATTTATCTTTCTATCATGTAACGCGTAATCTAATATTTGTTTTATTTCAAATGTGTTATCACATTTCGTATTCTCCTGTGCTTGTGTTGACTGTTGTTTTTCATAGTATAAAAGGAACGACAAAAATATAGTTTAAACGCAATTCTTTATCATGGAAATAAATATTCATACGCTAACTCTTAAGTAGTGTCTATTATATCAAAAATTGTCATAATTTTACATTTCAAAATAATTCACTATGACAACACAATCGTCAGACTTGGTGTTTCGTATTTATTCTATGCACAATTATGAACAACATGTTACCGAAATGAATGATTTATTTCAACGATGTGAATCCACTAATTATAAGTCAGTAACGATGGGTGATAACAATAAATTACCCATTGTATTTCATTGTGAATCTATCGATTACCTTCGTTGCATGAAACAATATCCCGAATCGTACTGTTATACATTGATAAACCCAAAAGATGGTTGTGTTGTTGCTATTGTGGCTCTTCATATAAAATTTGTATATTTTGGATCGTCTTTGGTGACTGTTACATTTAGTCGTTTAGCTCGCGTTGATCCAGCTCAACGACGACAAAACCTTTCAATAAATCTTATGATGCAAGTGAGCCAAACTGTTATTGATCATGGTTCAGACTATATAACAGGCTACACAACATATACCAATGTTCCATCATTAGGTCTACAACAACGTTTGTACGGTTCATTCTCAAATACACTTAGTCAGCTCAATCATTTTATCCTTTCAACAGGAACTACTTCCGAAACAATTAAATTACATAAACTTAGCGTCGAAGAAACAGAACGTCTTTGGATGGTTGATATGATTGATTGGGTTCAGCGTCCCTCACTATCAGATTTACACCGTATCATACATATGAATGAATATATAGGTATTTTCGCTGTTGGAGATTTCTCGTCAGGACGATATGCAGCAGCAATGATATGGGAACCATTAACTGTGATGCTTTGTGACGATCGATCTAGTACAAACAATGCATATCGTGGTCGATTCCGTTTAGCACTAAACTTTTTCCAATCATCCAGCTCACTACCATCGATTACAGTTCATGAAAGAGAACATCTCATATCTGCACTCAGCAATGCAGCAGCCAATGATAAAATTCCATTCCTGATATGTGACATTGAGGAGTCATCACCATTTACATCGTTAGTACAACAGAAAGCTCTAGCTGTGACAACAGCGAATATATCTCGAGTTCCTTTGACGAAACGATTTGCAGATATGGCCGATCAATTTACTAATTCACCCATTTGGTTCGATCCACGTGATTTTGGTAGTCTACTGTATTTTAAACCTCTCTCGAAAGAATTACAGTCACAATTATGATAACATTACATTGTATCATCCACTACTACTGATACTTTTTATAACTTTTCAAAATTTAATGAACTACTATCGAAGTCCATATAATCAAGAATAAAACAGTAACGTTTCTAATGATCTGAACTGTTCAAATCGGCATTGAAAGTTTTTTGAAATAAGAAAACAGTGTAAAATGATTATTATTTCGGATAATCTAAACATATAGTGTTTAGATGAGGATGATATAGAAGAAGAGACATCCATACCCTCAATTTATTTTGTAAATAACTATTTATTAGCAAAAAACGATTCTAAACAAAGTCCAAATGTGAGTATAAACACAGACCATCCTTCGTTCTATGTATATACCTATGACTTATATTTAAATGAGCAATAATAAAATCGAAATGAGCAATAACGAATTTTGGCAATAATAAAATTGAATGAGCGATAATAGTACTGAATGAGCAATAAATATACTGAATGAGCAATAATTATACTAAATGGGCAATAATTATACTAAACGAGCAATAATTATACTAAATGGGCAATAATTATATTAAATGAGCAATAATTATACTAAACGAGCAATAATTTATTTAAATGAGCAATAAATCGTATGTGTAAGGAGCAATATAAATCTAGGTGTTATAGTATCATTCGTCTGTGTTGGATATTTTTTTTCTTTCTTTAGATTGTATCGTATAGATGACGTATACACGATCTTTACATATATATAGTTTTTTTTCCTTTTCACTTAATGTATTTTCCAAACGTTGACTCTTTTAAGTACTTTTCTTTCTCCTTATTTTTCTCTCATTATCTTTGAATTTTCCCATTCTGTTTATATGTATATACGTACATATATATGTTTGCGGCCAATGTCGAATTCAGTCCAGTCTGAGATTAGCCAAGGCCAATCTAGAATCTCATATTGGACGCGTCCAATATTGATTTATAGAAGAGTTTTTCACAAAAACTCCTATTTGTGTGTGAAGAAACGCTATATTCGAACTGTTAATGGTGAGGATCATAGTGAGGGTGAAGGTAAGATAATCATTTATGAAGAGGTTGAAATAGGATTTGTTGAGTTATGGATAGGCTTTTTAGAAGAATCACTTTTATGAAAATATATCCATAAATCTTTAAATCCGAACTTGATATTTTGTCTGACGACTGTTATAGCTTCGTCCTCACCCGCACTGTCATCTTCACCATCAAGAATTCGATTGTAGCATCTAGGGACTAATGAAGGTTTTTGTGAAAAACCCTTCTATAATCCAATATTGGTCACGTCCCACGTGAGATTCTAGATTGGTCTAGGCCAATCTTAGATTGAACTGAATCCAATATTTGCCGCAAACATATATATATAAATACTCTACATTCGTTTATAAGAGAAAATGATACATTCAAAAGCGATCAATTAGACTAAATTCTCTTTTAATGAATGATTCAGGGTGTAGGTGTGGGTGCTAGATGAATATAGTATCCATACCCAAACTCATACCCACACCCTCAAAAAGAAAAAGAGGCAGACCATCTAAAGCAAAAAAAGCTTTATTGCTGCAATAGTATATTTATTGCTCATTTTCCTTTTTCTTATGACCGATTGTAGAAATAAAAACTGGAGTTTTTCTTTTTCTTATGACTAAAATATGAAATTAATATTACTATTTGATGGATTAATTATTACCCATTTCATAATTTAAAACTGCTCAAAAAAGATTTTTTTATTGCTCAAAGATTATTGCTACTTCGTATTTTAATTATTGCTCATTCAGTCACTATTAGTGCTCATTTAAATACTAGCCTATACCTATATTTGTGTCCTTAATTTATACTGTCAGCCACCTTCAAACGCATCTAATAATTCTCATCCACACTCTCACCTCGCCATCCTTATTTCCTAAGTTGCTTGATCTCTACGATGATAATTACTAAAAGAATTTTTCTAAATCTATACAAAATAGAAGTGCTCATCTTTCAAAAACATAGATGTCATTCACTTCTAAAAACGGATCACATAAGTATTTCGATTGGTTAAATAAAATATGGAATTTCTTCTATTCTATTATTTTTATAATGCTTACTATGCATGTTTTGTTTCGTAAACATTCATTGCTTTTATATTCGTTTGCTCTCTTCCTAGATTTCTATTCTCATTATACTTCATTTAAATTCAAAGAAGCATTATTAACGATGGCACGATACAATGCTCATGATCAACAACAACTTGCAATTTTTGGTCCATTTTTTGCTACAATTCTATTGACAATCATCGTTTGGGTGTATATGTATATTCGACGTATTCACTTTTTTCAGACTACGAAACTACCTATGGAACAACTCACACGTGCTGGTGGACTGGCGCGATTATCGCCACCTGGCGTAAATAATCCATCAGATAATTTAAAGAATTTATTTGAAGTACCTATTTTGTTTTATGCATTTTCACTCTATTTATTTGTCACAACACAAGTCGATGCAACATATGTTTTTGCTTCATGGATTTTCTTTGTATTTCGAGTCTTACATAGCAGTATTCATTGTACTTTTAATCATATAATGTCTCGTTTTTATTGTTATCAACTTTCATGTGTAGCTTTATTCTTTATGATTTTTCGTGCCATGTTAGCACATTTTTTCTCATAGAGCTTCATATTAATAAAAATTTCCACTGTCCTAGATAGTTCAACGATTCGGACGCATTATTCTTAACGAGTTGTTAAAGTCTTTTTGAAAGTACACCGTATAATAACACTTTCGATAACTTATCATTTTTATTTTATCGAAAAATTATCAGATATAAAGAAGAAGCAGTAAAATATTCTTCAACGGATACGAATTTTCAAAAAGTTGTATCATGTTTTTATTTAGAATTAATCGATGCTGATTGTAAGATTTTTCAGTTTTAATATTTCGACAGTATAAAGAAACAGACAAAGAAGTGTTAACCATTTTCATACTTTTGTATAGTTAAAATATTTGATGAGATCGATAACTGTAGTAATTGTACAATTGGTATGAAGAACGAACAAATATTTTTATTAATATTCTACCTCTAGTAAATATAGTCGAATAGTAAATTGTCATGTAGTGACTTCAGAATTTCTAACTTATTTTAATAATATTACCGGTAATACGGTAAACAAACTTAGGAAAAGTAAAGACACATTCGTTCAGGCAGATCTATAGATTTACAAATTGTTCAAGAAATTTCACTGATTTTCTGTAAGATAGTCAATAAATACATATACAGATTGACATGACTATTCTGCTTACCGTAAGTGAAGTTTTTAAGAATTCCAACTACTTCTTTGATTATTGATAGATCCATTGATATGTGAAAGTCAAAGATACTATTAATCAATAATATCTTTCTATATTAGAATTATACAACTAAATTATAGCATTCACTGTTTATTTTATTTTTTTTAGGATATAAAAATTAAATGATTTCATTTTTTTACGGTTTACGAATATTTGAAAAGAAAACGTGCTTATTAAGATCATAACGTGCACAAATATAATGGATGATGATAATAATATCGAATTAAAAAAAAAGAGCGCAACGTCAACAAGAACCGGACAAAAAAAACAGAAACACACACACACACACGCAAAGAATCTAGTCAAAATTTGATCAAACGAAAAAAAAAAATGCACATCAATTAAATGATAAAAGTAAAATATTTTATTCTTCACAATAATCAAATAAAACAGTATCAAATCTGACACATGGAATTAATAACAATAATTGCCACATAAAAGAAAAAGGAATGTATATATTATTTCACATTTATTTATTTTTAATAATATTTTTTTCTGACGATTTTTTTTCTGCTGTTAATACAATTAATTTTCCATCTTTAACACCAACAAGTAAATGACTAAAATCTTTTGTAAAATACAAACAATTGATTTGTGTTCGAAGGCGAATTGTTTGTATTGTTTTCATTCTTTAGAAAGATCAATAAATAAATAAATAAAATTCTTTAAAAATAAAAAACCACTACTTACTCAAACATATCTTTAACGACAACTCTTGCAGCGACTAAACCTTTTGTTTGTTGTAATGATGGTATATGATTAACAGCTAGTACAATATATTGATCACTTAAAATCATATCAACAACATTATATTCTAATTTTCGCATTCGAATTAAACCACCATTAATTGAATATAAAAATAAATATGTATCATCTTTTTCTGTATGAACAAGTATATGTCTTTCATTTGATAATTGTAAATTTATAATTGGATCACTCATAGGACGTAAAGTTCGAACATAAATTCCATGTTCAACAGTATGAATATTACATGTACCATCTAATGAACCCGAAACAACGAGATCAAGTTCAATTGATACAGAAACACATGTTACTTCAGATGTATGACCATAAAGTGTAACAGCTGGTGAAAGAAGTGCATTAGATTCTTGTTCGTTTGTATTCGTTAGATTTCGATTATCAATTAAAGATAAATTCCATATAACACATGTCGTATCACGAGAACCAGTGACAAGAATATATCCTGTTGAATCAAGTGTTAAACATGTTATTATATCTGTATGATGAATAATTGAAGTTATAATTTTCGATTTTAATAATGAATAAACACGTAATGACCAATCCCAATGACCACCACTGAAAACAAATTTTGCATCATGTGAAACAGCAAATATACGAGATGTTATTTCTAATGATGGAGAAAATGGAGCAGCAATGATATGTCGATTACTAAAACAAACAAAATAAGATAAATAATATTTATATTTTTATAATTATACGCTTGAAATCTCAAGCTATATATTTTTACCGTTCAGTTTGTAAGGTTGGATCACGTTCAAATGTAAAAAAATTACTTAAAGATTTATCATATGGTTGCCAACCTAATGAATATTCATAGTATAAAAAAAAGGAATGTTTTTAGTTTGATTCATCTTACCATTATTACCAACAACACCGCTTATACTAACAGTAACAAGTGTATCAGGAATACCTTGTTGCATAAATGATCGAATTTGATTTTTTGGTATAGAAATAAACGTTATTGGATCACATAATTTATCATTTGCTGGTGTTATTTCAACAAAAAATGCTCGTATATGTGTTAAATTTTGAAATATATTTAATGCACGTCCTTGAGATTCAATTTCAAATGTTGCTTGTTCACGTGTTTGTCGTTGTGGATGTGGTTCATTTAAAAGTTGAGATGGAATTTGTCCAAAATTTTGTATCATACCTTCAATTGCTTCACGTGTTACTGGATCATCAATTGCATCAACATCAACAGCTTTTTCATATGAACAATACATAAATACATTAGTCGCATCAACAGCAGCTTGACCTGTTTGTTTATAACCAAATATAAGATCAATCCAGTCATGTAAATGCGCTGATACATAATCAGATTCAAGTGCTAAACGATGCATATGAATAAATTCTTCAGGTGAATTATGAGCCCATGGTGGTAATTGTACATCATTTAATATATGATTACTTATTTGTAATTTGCCTAGATCAAATTTATTTGAATTCGTAAGAAATTCAGGTAAATAAAAAAATTCAGGGATTAATTCTTTAACTTCATTTGGTGAATCCATTATATTTAACCATGCTGATTGAAATGAATGAAATTGTCGATCAGCTATATCAAATCTAAATAATATATTTTTTTTAAACTAAGAGAAAAACAAAAAATCGAATTTGACAACATACTTTCCACTTTGTAATTGTATATGTAAAGTTGTAAATGGTTCCATTCGTATAAGATAATGCATAACACTTGCAGCATTAGAATAATGTGTACCATAATGAAATTTTTTCATTAAACCAGTTGGATCATCGAATGAATCATATCTATATAAAGATGAAGAGATTAAAAATTATGATGTTATAAAAATTTACTTTAATCGAACATCTTCAATATGTTTAGGATTTTGAATACCAATTGGTCTTGAAAAATCTCGAAAAACATTTGGATCAGTTATATCTAATACATCTGATACATAATCTTTTAATATCCAAGGAAATATTGGATATTGATTAAGATCATTAAATGTTCTTCCAGCAATTGTATTTAACATCATTAAATAATCAAAATTCGATATTTCTCTTGCTATCCATTTTTCCGTTAATTTTGATTCTTTTAAAATTTCTTGTGCTGATAATGTTATAGATAAATTTGAATAGATACTTTTCATTCCAGGTAATTTTAATGACATAATTTTTTGATAAATTTGTCGACGTAATTTTTTATCGAAATTTATTAAAAAATTTGTTTGATTAAGAAGAAAAAATTCTAATGCTGATGGACGTAAATTATATCGACGTGCATGTACATCTTGTAACCATGATAATGGATATTTAAAATCATTTTGATAAGATTTTTGTGGTGTTGAATCAAAAAAATAAATATATTTATTTGTTATTTCAAGTTTACCATCTGTTATTGATGTTGAAGTTATTAATGAACATTGTGTACCAATAATTCTATTGAGGAAAAAACAAATTCAATATTTATTCATTTAAATACAAAAAAACTATTTTACATTTTTTCTTTTTCATCAAGTAATAACGATTGAGTTTCATTAATAACAGCTAAAAGTTCTTCTTCATCAATAGAATTTCCATGTAAAATTTCTTGTTGGATTAATAAATTTTTATTTTTTAAACTCTCTTCAAGAAATAATTGTTGTGATTCATCCATTGAATCAATTCCTAAATTATCTCGCAAACGACTAGCTTCTTCATGTTTATTAAAATCATCATTGGCAACAAGTTTACATCTCATGCGATGAATATTTTCACGATCCGATAACATCCAATGAGATTCTTTCGAAGTTTTCTCAGTCCACCATGGACCACGTTCGCCATGAAAATATTTTTCACGATCTTTCCATTCATGTTCAACATGTACTTGATGGATACGACGTTGTTTAGCTAATTTTAATAAACGATGATGATCAGTACGACGACGGGCACGCCATTGATCAACAATATGACTCTAAAATTTCATAAATCATCGTAGAGATTTTCTCGTTCTATTAAAAATAGAAAAATTCGGTTTACTTGAAATTTTAATTTTTCTTCACCAATTTGTCTATTTCGTTTATGTATACCAATCATCATCATTTCATGACAATTATTCCACCATATTTTCATATTCATATGAAATGGTCTTATAGACATCGATCGATAATGTTCAGCTAATGGTTCAATATGTCGTTGAATAAACATTTGCCATTCTTGACTATTTGATGATGAACTATATTGTCGAAAATCATCTAATGCGGTTGCTGTAGCTTTATGTAATGGTACATTTGGTATTTGAACATTCATTTGAAGAATTTCATAGGATTTATCAATAATTGTTTTCATTATTGGTAATAAATATATATAATGTTCACAATCTTCATTATGTGAAATAGATGAAAAGATTTTGTTTACACTTGATAATAAATATGCTGCTTCTTCACGACCATTTAATGGACGACTATGTAATAAAGAATGTATACGAACAGATGCTTGACCGCAATATGAAGTATTTGAATGAGCAAGAAGTGTAAAAAGAATATTAAGACCAGTTAAAGATGTTTCCGTCCAATGTTCATCATGAGAAATTAATGGTGATAATGATTGATCACCAGTACCATTTTCTTCGAAAATAAGCATTGTATCAAGTATTGGAATAATTCCTGTCAAAAAATTCAATTTTTTCCTTTTATTAGAAAACAAAAAAACTATTACCATTAATAAAAGTTTCAGTTAATCGATCATTATTTTCATTTGACTGTGTTAGGAAATCATCAACAATTTTTATTAATTCACGGCAATTACTTTCATAAGTTGGTGTTGTTTTACCTAAATATATTATTCTTTTAAAGAAAAAAAAAGAACAAATAAAACAAAAAAAAAATACAATTAGGAAACAACGATTAAGAAGAGAAACATTTTATTTGTGAAGAACACAACAATGTTTGTGTTGTATATTGTTTTAGATCACTTACGTATTTCGCTCATACGCCGTCGATAGAGACGGTCATAGCCATGATATGCTTTAGAATTTTTTTTTATGATTAATAAAACAAAACAAGATCAAAGAGAATAAATAACATACCTCCATTTATTTTAAGTTCATTTAAACATGTTTCCATACTTAATTCAAGAATACGTCGTTCAATATAAACTAATGGTAAATAAAATTCATATTCACGATGAAGATGATGAAGTGCTGAAAAGATTTGACCACGAATCTAAAAGGAAAACGAATTTGCAGAAATAATCAAGTATATAAACAAACCATCCATGCTTCATCATCAGAACCAGCAACGCCTTTCCATAGCACCATAACTATTGTCAATATAAGTGTTTCACAAAGTTCTTCAAGAAGGCCACCATCTTCAGTATTACTCGATGAAGGCACATAAAATGATGTATCTTCAGTACTTGTCACACCTAGGATAATAAAAATAGATTTATATAAAATAGTAGGTAACTATTTCAAGCCATGCACACCTTACAGGAATCTCTTTCAAAACCCCCATTGTAATCTATATATTTCAAAACAAGTATTATATTTGTAGTTAACAAAAGCTACAGTATGAAATCAGTGAACTTTATGACAATTTGAATCAATTACGTTTCAAATGTCTTGTAGTGATGAAACTTTCTATACAATATTCAAATATCTCTGTCTCAGTACAAAATTTTTTAATTGATTCATTATTAAAATGTGAGGAGCAGCAAAAAATAATGACAATCTATATTTGATCATATATTTTTCAAGCAGAACAATTAGCCGACCTAAAATCTGTCTAAGTTCGGGGCCGAGTCGTCTATGGTGCTGAGTATTTTCTTCATCGTCACAAAGATGTTTTATACTTGTGGTAGTAGTTGTTGTTGGTTGTAATCCACTTGATATATCAGTACTACTAGTTATTGAAGCCAAATCATCATTTGAATTATCTGTTTTATTTAATGAAAGAAGATCTTCACGACTAGTTGTTGATGATTGTAATGGTGTTGTCATTGTTTCCATAGCATTTGTATTAAATTCTTCACTACTATTTCTTCGAAGAAATTCTGGTGTTGTACCTTCAATATCCATCGAAAGACTCATTGGTGTAAGAGCTGAATTTGATGTTACTGATTCTCTTGGAGATGGTAATGTTTGATTGAAATTTGTTTGTGTATTATTATCTATAATTGGTGATAGATCAAGTTGTCGTACAAGTCTTTCTTGTGTAGGATCATCTGGACTTGATGATGTTTCGAATATTTGTGGTGGTACTATTGGAACTTGAAGATTACTATTATCATTATTTGTACCATTAGAACTTTCTCTACCAGAATCAAGACTTTGATCTTTTGTAAATGTTGACAAACCATCCATAGATAAACTTGATGAATGTAAATGACGAAATGATTGAATAGGTGTTGAACGACGAGATTTAATAAAAAAATGTGCTATAGTTTCTTGCCATCCATGACATTTAGCGTATGAACGACACATTGCTGGATGTGCAATAAAACATGTCATTAACTAAAGAATAAAAATTAGATTAAAAGAATATTTCATATTAAAATATTTCTTACTTTACGCATAGCTACATAACGAACATCAAGTGATGCGGCACTACAAAGAGTTAATACAACATTAAGATGATCTACAGCGATTGTTGAATCTAAATATTCAAAAATAAATAATTATATATTGAATAAGAATTAATTTATTTTACCAGTATTAATAATTAAATTAAGAATTTCACGTACAATCGATACACTTAATTCATTGGGTGCTAAACCTGATATAATACCACCAAATCCAATATGATTTGTTTCTAATCTTAATTGTGTTCTTATTTGTTGTGGTACTCGTCTTGATCCAATAAGATATTTAATAATTTTCAAAACAATTTCTTTTGTATTACTTGAGAGATTATTTACAGTTAATAAAGCATAAAGACTTTCTGTCATATTTGGTTCACATAAAAGTCCAACAGTTGTATCAGTTGATGCTGATGGTGGATCAAGTAATGCAAGTATAAAATCAAGTAATTCTTGTGTAATTGTATCACTTGATGTTGATAATGTTGATATTGAAGAAATTAATGAATTTAATTCTTCAATACGTATATGACGTTGAACATAATATTTAATAATACCATAAACAGCACTACGTAATTGTTTTTGTTCATCAATATCTTCTTCCATAGAACTAAAATGAAAAAAATGTTAAGAATTATGATTCTCTATTCAATCAATAATTTATTTACATAAAATGTTGTCTAATAATATCTAAAAAGAATTGTACACCAAATTTTGTTCGATAAAATTTTCGTTCATCTTTAATAATAGATGCAATATATTGTAAATGTGATATTCGTACATGAAATTTTGCTTTATTCCATAAACCAAAATCAAGTAAAATATATTGAATAAATTGATTTGTTAATAAATTAGGTGATTCATTTAAACGACTACATTCAATTAATTGTTGAATAGCAATAAGTAATTGTTGATCAACAAAAAATGATGGTATACGATTTAAATGTTGTCCTAATAATTCAATATTATAATGTTTAGTCATTTGTTCAGTTAAAATTAACATTGATGTTGATGATAAAACACAACGAAGTAAATTTAATATAGATGCTATAGGATTTGAAATTAAACGATTATCAATATCAGATAAATGTTTTTGTGATTGTTTACGAACAATAATCCAATCTGTTGGTGATTCAACATTTGTTGGAGATGATAAATTATCAGAATAGGAAGAATCACAATAATCATTTTCTTTAAATTTTTCAATTAATGGATAAAGTATAGGACAACCACCAAGATTTAATAATG